ATAGGTTGGTGGAACCATCCAATTTGCATTTAAACGACCAATTTACCGGTTTACAACTAGCACGAATTTCATTAACTCAAGCATACTACGAACATTTATGACAACATATAATGATCATAAATGGTTCCAAACGGCATTATACGACCCTGAGATATATCCCCTAAAATTTCAGGACTTTTCGACACTAGGCCTCAAATTTTCCAAAATTTCTTAAAAAGCGTGGATATTATTAGCCTTCAATTTTGAAATTTTTGACTTTTTTCGCTCGGATATAATGTAATACCCCGTATTTTTATGTATTTTTATAAAGTATTTAAGTATTAATAAAATGTATTGTCAAGGGCTCAAGTATTTTAATTAAATATTTTAAAGGGTTAAAGTATTTTAAATTTAAAGTTTTATAAAAGTAAAATATGTTTTGGGCCAAACGTTTATTAATTATTGGGTAATGTAAATTATTCCTACATACTCTTATTTTAATAACCCATTCCAAAACCCATAACTTAAGCCCTATCCCATAACTCAAGCCCACATTTTATAAGCCCAAATTTAACCCTACACTTTCTACTCTATAAATACCCCATGAATCCCCAAAATTTCCCACACAAAAAGTCAATTGGTCAAGATAATTATTTTCTCCCTTATTTCTTTTTTTTCTTTTCTTTCTTTTTCTTTTCTTTTTGTCCTTTTCCTTATTATTTTCCCTTCTTTGTTGCTCCTTGGGTTCATACATTGGTATGAACATGCATGGCCATCATCACTTACTTCCACCCCCTTGCCATGTCACCTTGCCGGCACCGACCCCAGCCTCCGGCCACCCTTGCAGGTCCGACGACCACCCACACACACACCTTGGCCGTGAGCTTCACACTCTCCTCCTTGTTGTAATTTAATTTATGTATTATATATATTTTTGGGTATTAATTCTTGATGGTTAAATTATGATTAGTATGTTTTAAAATTGTGTTTTTGATGATTAAAGAGTATAAATTTCAGATTTTGTATTGTTTTAGATTATGATTTTATAAGGTATTAAAGTTAGGGTTTTGAAATTAGTAAAGTGTTGATTTTTAGGGTTCTAACTTACAATTGATTTGGGGGTTTTATATACCCATTGATTGTAAGTGGTAATAAAGCTTAAAAAAGTATGCTGGAATTTTTATATGAACACTATAATTGAGTTTTCACTTTGTGGTTTTAATTACCCACTTAAAGAGAGAGTTTTAAAGGTTTTAAACCAAAATTTCAGCTTGTTAGTGAGGTTTTAAAATGTTTAAAAGTTGCTGGAAATTTGTGTATACTAAGGTAATTAATATAGGTTTATTGTCCCTTTATGTAGGAGACTTGGTTCGAGAGGTGTTGTAGTGTATTTGGCCACTTTAAGGGTTTAATTAAGGTACGTACGCGTACTTAGCATATTTTGATGATGTAGAATCATGCTAGGCTTGATTTCAATCAATTACAAGTAGTATCATGCTAAGGTTTATGTATGGAATTGTGAATTAATGGTGTTAGTGATTGAATTGTGAAGCATAAATTATTTGTGATGGTTATGGATTGGAAAATTATATTTTGGGCATGTTGTGTTTGAACCACATTTTTATTTATGACATGTTAGAAGGCATGATTAATTAAACTATATGTTTAATTATGTTTGGAATATTGAAAAGGAATTTTATTATGGTTCAAATAATTTTTATTGACGCTTTAAGCATGAGGAAGGAGCTATATAAGTGTCTATGTACACAAGGAATAAATTGTATGTTGGTGCCTTTATGCATTTAAGGTGTTTTTAACACTGAGGGATAGGATTTTTGGGCATTATGCGTTTAAGGTGTCTTTGACACTGAGATAGAATTAAAAAGGGTTCAATATTAAATAATATGTGGTCACTAGTTATTCAAAAATTAATTTGGCATGTTTGGTTAATTGAATAATTATTGTTGATTGTTTTACGATGCTTTGAGAGTCATCACCAAGTCCAATAAAAGGTAAATAACGTAAAGTGAAAGAGATTACGCACCAAAACTCTTGGAACGTATATACCTTGAGTATGAACAATGGGGGGAGTTATAGGGTTTTATATTTAACTATAACTTCTAATGGAGTACAGGACGCTGTATATTGCTTTTTATTTATTATTATGCGCAGGAATTCCGCCACCTTTGAGTGGTTTTGTCGCTGGCACGGGTAGCTCCCGTGTCAGTTAACCTCAATTTATTTGGGGGAGGTTAGGAGGAGGAAACCCGTTCGATGCGTAATCAACGCTAAATGAATTAATTAGTGTCTAGTCATTGTATCTTGTTGATTGGTGTGTGTGCTTGTGAACAGGTGCAATGAGGTAAGTGTGTGTTGATAGGTGAAAGCATGTTGGTGTGGTTAATTTACGCTTATGTACTCAGCTTTGCTGATTGTGTGTGTTTGTGTATTTGGCCATGTCTTTACCTTGGCTCTATGATGACCCATTTCTAATGGAGAATAGTGGAAACAAGTAGAGATAAACTTTTCAGGTGTTGAAGCATATTCATGAATGGGCATGGGATAAGAGCGAATCATGCTTGTTTCTATAAGTATATGATGTGTTTAATGCTTTAATTATTTATGATATTATTATCGTGCATGACTAACGCAAAAGTTTTAAAGTTGGTTTGGTTTTAATAAGGGCCTACAATGGTTCCAAGTTGTAGGATGGTTTTATTTTACTTCGTTTGACTTTGGTTTTGACTTTACTTTCATTGGTTGACTTGTTTTGAATGGTTTTGAAATTAGTCTTCCGCTGTGTGTCTTTGATGGTTGACTTAGCCGTTTTCACGATGGCGGTAATATCTTAGATATTCCTATTTAAATTTTTAAACAGGGCAAAACATGTATTTTAAAAGAAAGGAATTTCTAGGGTGTTACATATAAAAATTTTCGAAATGTTCCCCATATCCCTAATACCGTCCGGGAGTCCCATTAGATGGGTGGAACCTTCCAATTTGTCTTTTAACGACCACTTTACCGGTTTATAACTTGCATCGATTTCATTAACTCAAGCCTACCACGAACATTATGACAACAAATAATGATCATAGATGGTTCCAAACAGCATTATATGACCCCGATATGTATCTCCTACAATTTCAATACTTTTCGACACCGAGCCCCGAAACCTCCAAAATTTCTCAAAAAGCGTGAATATTAGTCTTCAATTTTGGAATTTTTTTGACCTTTTTCTCCTGGAAATAAAAATTGTCGAAATTTTTACCATGGTTCCTAATACCCTCTGGGAGTGTAATTGGGTAGGTGGTACCATCCAATTTGCCTTTAAACGACCAATTTACCGGTTTATCACTTGCATGGATTTCATTAACTCAAGCATACTACGAACAATTATAACAACATATAATGATCATATATGGTTCTAAACTGTATTATATGAGCCCGAGATGTATCCTCTAAAGTATCAAGACGTTTCTACACTAGCCCCAAAACCTCAAAAAATTTTCAAAAAAAAAACGTGGATATTAGCCATCAATTTTGGAATCTTTTGACTTTTTTTTTGCCCTTAAATAAAAATAAGTAGCGAAATGTTTACCATGGTCCTTAATACACTACGGGAATCCAATTGGTGTGTGGAACCATCCAATTTGCTGTTAAACGACAATTTACTGGTTTACAACTTGCACCGATTTACCAATTTACAACGGCCAATTTAATTAATTTGCACCGAACCCGACTTGAAACGAAATTGACCCTAACCCGTTTTAACCTGTCAAAACCCGAGTTTAACCCGACTTGGAAATGACCCAACTTGATTATAACCAGCAAATTTTTGACTTGAACCGAACCAGATTTAAACCCGAGAATGACCCGACCTTATTATAATCCGCAAATTATTGACTTGAACCAAACCCGACTCGAACCCGAGAAATACCTTAACCCGTTTTAACCCGTGAAAATCCGAATTAAACCCGACCTATTGTTCACCCGACCCGAATGTAACCCGACCTTAACCCCGACCCAAACCCGATAAGAAGTATGACCCGACGTGACCCGAATCAAGCATGACCCAAACCAAACCCGACCCGCATAGGTCATGGAATTAATCTGAATTGACCCGACCTGACATGAGTTGACCCGACCCACTCTTACCCGACCCAAAGCCGACCCGTTTACCCGAATTGACAGCACTAGCAACAGCGACATGGGATAAGAGGAGGGAGGGTGGCCGCCGATGTCGAAGAGGACTGAGTTGCTAGCGTGGGGCTGGTGGTGCGATGGGGAGAGTGGCCGAGGGTTTAGGGTTTTTTTCAATTTTATTTTTTCAATCTTATTGTTTAATAAAATAATAATAAAATGAACCAATTAAAATATGTCACGTGACATAATTAGCCTTAATGACTAACGGAGTTGACATCCGTTAGTCATTTGAGCATATGATGATTTTCATGGTATGATGAATAAAAAAATAACTCAGGGGTATTTGGTGAAAAATCCGTATTTTAAATATGTACGTAATGGTAGTTCTCTATAGGGATATTAAATTAGCAGTAAGTTTAGGATTCAATTCATTATTGATATAATTTTGATCTCATTAATAAAATTTATTTATGAAAGTATAATCAGTTTATATATATATGACGATCATCTAAATAAGAGAAATATCGAGGATGAAATCGAAAAGAAAGAATGAAATGAGGAAGATGAAGAAAATTACCAGTGAGGCGATGCGCCATAGTTGAGTTATTTCGCAAATCTCCTCTTTCTCTCTCTGTGTCACTGATAACTGCTGATCAGCTGTTAGAGTATGAAATAAATCATGAATTTTGGTTTTTGTTTATTACTATATAATTATTTAGATATTAAAAATACGCTACTATTACATCAATGTCAATATGTCACGTTTGAACCCTGCTGTTGACGTTTTTTATTTGCCAAATTTGGAAAAACATGACAAAATTACGCGTCGATCGGTGTAATTAATATTAATTTTAATTTAATTTTTCTATTTTAATTAGCTTATTCAACGCCCCGGGACATTCGTCAACAATATCCTTTTTATTTTGAGGGGGAGGGATTTTTTTTTGAAAGAAGGGAAAAAATCTTACTCAATGTTTAGTGAAAGAAACTACATATTCCCAAAAAAAAAAAGAAGAAAATATCTCTATTTCTATATGCATACCAATTATAAAAACTTGATATTCATAAACTATACAAATACAATGAGACGAATTCAACATTATATTATTACTTATATAGATCAAGGATAATTATTGATCAAAGTTTTAAAAGTTTAACCCAAATATTAGAATAGGGCAAAAATTTAAGAACGGAGTAGTACAATGTATTCTATTAGAAAATGCACAAGACATTTAAATAGCCCTCTACTGTAAATTATGGACATATGGTAATTATCTTCACCTGTATGTATCTTCACTTCCTCCTCCATGCTTACAGCATAATTCACAAGGTAATGAGCCAAGAAATTTGCTTCTCGAGGCACATAGCTGAACCTAAAGTTGCAATCTCTGGAGGAATTCCCCTATATCAGCAAGTATAGCAGCTAGTTCATTGTTCCTTGTTTCCACACGTCCTCCAGAGCTTGTACAGAGTAAACTACTAATGATGTTCTACAACCCCGAGTCAAGAAGCTAACACCACTCCACCTCTAATAGCCATTACTTCAGCTTCGCTTCAGCTGGGTTTCTTGTCTTGATCTTTGCCCAGAAACCAAGTTCCATCCTCAGCTCCCTTAAAATAACCTCAAGTTCACGTTCTGACCAGTGATCATGGAGCGCCACTTTTTAGTATACTTCACTCTGTAGCATTGAATTGGTTCGTGACTGTCATATACACATCGCTGAAGATGGTAACAAGAAAGAAAAATTATAACTAACCAAAATCAGACAAGGTATTCACTTGAAAACATAAATGGCAAAAACCAAAAAGAAAAACTATAACTAACCTGCATCCTATATGCCTTCAAAAAAAAAAAAAAAAAAAAACCTGCATCCTGTGTATTTTTTCTTCAATTGTAGCACCACATGTCATCAGTCTCTAAACTAGAACATGTATCTTCTGGCCAATCCGATAAGCACGATTGACAATGTGGTTATCCATACTGTAAAGAACAAATAGAAGAAATCAAATTTCTTGTTTCCAATGTTTGCATGAGATTTGGAGGTTGTAAATAAACAGATATACAAAGAGTGATGGTGTTGCTAAGGATAATCCAACTTCAAGATACACAATTGGCCATTTACTAATACCCTTTTTAACCTTTGCCCAATATATCATTGATACTTCAAAGTTTGCATATCAGAGTAAGCTTATGATGATAACCTCCTTCCTTAACACACAAAATAATGAGAACATGTATCCCTATGTCTAGAGACAAACAATAACTAAGTGCTAATTCAGCAAAACAGATAACCATGAATAAAAGTACTGATCCTACAATTGGCAGAGGTGATGCATTTGCAGTATCTAAATAGGTTATCCGAATTGACACCTCTAATTCCAAATGGTTACACAACAAGTCAACACTCATTATACCACATTTTGATAACCTTAAATAGAGACTTTATCTAGCTTGAAGTGCATAAATCACTCACCTCAAAATCATCTCTAAATCTCATCTCTTGTAGGGTTGAAGGTGATAATCATCAAACTCGGACCCAAACGATATGGACTCTTCATCAAGTTTCTTCTTCAGCCTCTTCCAAGTTCTCAACTTATCAGCTTGTATCAACCCGCGATAAAGCATCTCAAAGGTGATCTTCTGAGGAAGAAATCCTTTCTCAATCATCTGCACGAAATATTCACATGCTTCCCTCCATTTCTCTTTCTCAACCAAACCATGAATTAATACGGTATACGAGTCTAAATCAGGTCCAGCCCCGGCTTCTTTCATATCATTCCATATCTCTTCAACGACCTCCATGTTATTCAACTTCACAAACATTTGCACAAGGATATTATACGTATGCAAGCTCGCAACACACACACCTTCTTTCTTCATCCTCCTATACAACTCCAAAGCCTTTTCGGCATCCTTTCTTCCTCTCAACTCCTTAAAGAAACAATTATACGTTACAGCACTCGGTGTAACACCACTCTCAATCATCTCATTAAGCAACCTCTCAGCATCATCAACCCTCCCACACGAACTAAGACACTTAACAACCGACGTATAAGTAGCCACACTCGGGCAAATCCCCTTTGCCTTCATCCCCTCCAACCTATCTAAAGTCAAGTCAGGCTTATGAGCACGGCTACACACATGAAGCACAATAGAGTAGCTAGTAACATCAGGCTCAATCCCTCTCTCACGCATTTCATCAAACACCTTATCTGCAGCACGAATCGTCCTCTCAAAGCGATCATCCGGGTGCAAACTCGATTTTCGACAAATCCCATTAAGCAATATATTGTAACAAACTACATTCAGTTCAATCCCTTTATCAATCATCTCTCTCAACAATCTTTCTCCTATATCAACCCTCTTCACCTTACACCACCCATCAATCAAAACAGCATAAACTTTAACACAAACCTCGAACCCGAATTTCCTTTTATTAAAAAGCTCCATTGCAACCCTAACATAACCATATTTACACAATGTATCAATCACATACACAAAATCATCTTTACAAACCTCTGTTTCAGTAAAACAGGGCATATCATCAAACGCCCGAATCGCTTGCCGGGTAAAATTAGCAGCAATCAAACGACGAATAAAGATCAAAAAAGTGGAATTCTGGGGTTTTAGGTTTAGGGTTTGCATTTGAAGAATCAACTGCCAAACAACGTCGAATTGACGAACTTTTCCGAGGATATCGACGATTAGATTGAAGGAGGTGACATCAATGGCAGAAGGGTGAGAGGAGAGAGAATAGGAGAAGAAAGAAAGGGCAATTTTTGAGAGGTGGGAAAGACGAATTAGGGTTTGGTGAAGAAGAAAAGAGGAGAGAGAAATACCGTAGAGTTGAAGGGAGGATTCCATGGCATGAAAAGGGTTGTGATGTTCGATTAGAATGTTGGAGATTAAATCTGCGTCGTGAGATGGTTGAAGAGATGGAATTGATGGTTTTGCTGTTGAAGATGAAGAAGAGATTGAGCAGAGAGAGCGAGAAATGGCGGGAAGATGAAGATGAAGATGGTGGTGAGATTGAAGGAGTAGTCTGGAAGTGAGTTTTGCCGCCATTGATGAGTTTCTGAGGAATGCTTGAAGTTGTTGCTCTTCAGTAATACAGCCTTCAGGTTTTCAGTCTTTAGTTCGTCACTGTATAGTGTATAGTAAGCAAGAAAGTCAACGAGATGATAAGACTAATTGCATTCCAAACTTTTACAAAAACATTCTACACATTCAACAATGGAGTATGCTTATTTAGATACTCATATTATTAACCTGATTTCTTTCAAAAAAAAAAAAACGTTATTGAGTGATGTATACAAAGAATTCAATATGTCCATGATGAGGATTTCTCAATCTCAACTAAGTTGATTTCACAAAGACTCAACTAACTTTTGAAAACAATACTCGTAAAAAGAGAGAGGTACCTATTGTCATTAAGCACCATCCTTTTCATCCCTTAATTTTCACTAGCATTGAGCAATCCGTCAGAAAAATCATATTGGGGAAAAAAATTTAGGATTTGTTAGCCTCAACTAAGTTGAATCCATAAGACTTAACTAACTTTTAAAAATAAAAACACTCAACGAATACACAACAAAGTCTTGCACGCTATCTTCATTGATTAACCTTGCAATGATTTATCAAGTTCTATAAACTAATTCAATAATTCATGGGATATATTTTATCCAAGGAGAGGGGTGATTAACTATTACCCCTTATTTTTCGGGAAAAAAATTAATCCCTATATTTGATTACTCAAAATCCAAACTAGTGGAAGTGACCAGAATTGTTACTTACTCCATTATCTTTTTCCCCCCATATTTCATCAACCCAAACATGTCCTAATAGGAATTGTTTACACAGATAACAAGTTCCTACAAAGTGTCGCTTCGTTCATTCAACCAACCACAAGGTAGGGAACATAATCTTGTGATGGTCTATAACTCTATAAGCCAAAGCTAAGCAACAAAACATTCCACTCTTCATTAAAATAATTTTAATTTTAAAAGTAGGATAACTGAATATAGGAAATGGAGAGTCAATGATATTAAAAGCAATTCAATGTTCAATTCTGAGAGCATATACAACAAAATTATGCCTCATACAGTTTAAAATAGAAACACAATCTGCAAGGTTCTTTCCGAGCAAATAAATACATTCTTTCAACACCATTCCCAGCAAAGAGCATCAAGCCAGTGCCCCATGCTTAAGCCAAAGATTATATCCCCAAAATAGGGAAAAAAAAATAAAAAATCATCTGATCAGCTCCACTTATGTACCCCTTTCATTAATTACATTTCAATCCACAGTACGAGGACAGAGTGTCCTGCATCAAGCTTCTATACATGTAACGATCTCTGAAATGAGTCAGTAATGTCATCCAAGTCAATGACCTGATTGGTCCTTTCAGGTGGTGTTAAATTTTCAAGCTCCAAAGTCAGCTCTGTGATTTGACTTCGAAGTTTTTCCCCTCTGTCAGGTAATCGCGAAATAGTAGCCTGAAGCAGTTGAAAGAATGTAAATGGCAAGAATCATCAACAAGTCATTAGGGAATCAAAAGTCAAGGCTTAAAGCTGACAAAACATGATTTATAAACCATTAGTATACTTTTTTATAGGATGTTCAACAGTTGTATAGCCTCTTAAAAGCTCTTTAAGAAAATCTATACAAATTAATTAGTGTGTCAACTACCAGCCAATATTTGGTTTGCATATCAGCAAAAACAGGTTGTTGGAAACATTAGGTACATTCCTTATCTGCTCCTTAAATTGATTTGACAAACAAAGCAAGCTAAAGCACAGGACAAAAGAAAATGTCAAATTTTATGTATGTGATGTAATAATGATGCTAACCTTATTTGATAAAAGTTGAGAAAGCCTATTGATCCTCTCCTTGATATCTGATTCGGTAAGCTTAGTAGCACGTTGTGGGGAAGCATTGTTCTTGTGGAGGTTTACATCCTTTGGATTAAATGCATATTCAGACCTAGAAGGGTAAATTAAATAAAGAATGAAATCATTACTGCATCATATCAAGAGAGCCAAGAAAAATTTAAAAAAAAAAAACCATATTCCAGTTCATAATATTTGAGACCATACCCAGCAACGTAATGCTCAGTTGAAGTTGACGAAGAACCATATTTCCTATATATTTTATTTCCTGTTCTCCTGAGAATAAAAAAAAATGTGAAAATGTTACTATCTCATTACAGATAACAGAATTCATGGTTTTCTAGGATCCTACATAAGAGAAGACTTGTACAAATGCAGAAATAAAAAAATATATATAAAAAAAAAAACAGCCTCCTTTGTACTCCAATCATAGCTGTGTAATCCGATATGGCTAATATTACAGTAAGTATTGTCTCGACAGACAGTGTAGTCATTCACCTTGGCTCATCTTCTTCTACCTGTGCAGCTGGTGTAGGTTCTGTTTTGGAATAAAGCAAACTGTGGTGACTGACACCTCCAATGCCTAAAGATTCCAGGAATTTGATGTGGGCTTTCAAAAAGTCACTCCTATTGACAGATATAAGACAAACATTAGGACAACATAAAACGAAAGCAAACAAATCATAAATCAGAAAAGCCCACTGAATAAGATTACAAGAAAATTACAATGAGATCTGGTCACCATGTTCAGCAACCAACTGCAACTGAGTGGGAGAAACATCAAACCCATCTTTGGGAAGGCTGAAAAGCTCTTTAAGATCCTGAAAAGGGTAATTAGCAAGGATAAAACATCATGACTGTAATTATTAGCTCAAGAGCAACACATAGTAATTAGAAGACAAACCTGCTGACTGAAGTAACGTGTTTGCTCTTTGTGCTCTGTAGCAGTTTTAAACAAGCCACCCTTGTATATCTAAAGCACAGTTCGAGATGTTAACCCAAAATAAACAAGGTATTCACTTTAAACATAAATGGCAAAAACAAGAAAGAAAAATTAAAACTAACCTGCATCCTATATATTTTTTCTTCAATTGTAGCACATGTCATCAGTCTGTAAACTAGAACATCTTTCTTCTGGCCAATCCGATAAGCACGATCTACACTTTGGTTATCCATACTGTAAAGATCAAATAGAAGATTTTTTTTTACTTGTTTCCAATGTTTGCATGAGACTTGGAGGTTGTATATAAACAAATAATACAAAGAGTGATAGTGTTGCTCTGGAGAATCCAACTTCAAGATACACAATTGACCATTTACTAATACCCTTATTACCCTTAACCAAATATATCATGATCCTTCACAGTTTGCATATCAAAGTAAATTTATGATGATAAAACCCTTCCATTGACACACAAACTAATGAGAGCATGTATCCCTATGTCAAGAGACAAACAATAATTAGGTTCTAATTCAGCAAGACAGATAACCATAAGTAAAAGTACTGATTCTACTATTGGCAGAGGTGCATTTATGGCATTTAAATAGGTAATGGTGGGAGAATATTCAATTATGGATGATAAGGAATTCAAAGACAAGCTATGGCTGAAAGTATATAGATATGGATGTTCAAAAAATTCAAAGAAGCTGATGGTGACATTTGGGGGTTAAAAACAGAAACCTGCTCAAAACAAGACACCTATTTATGAGCATACATAAAGATGTTTGGTTCAATATGCTGCCTCTATTCGAAAATAAAACGCCAAAGGAAATTCAAAATTCAGAAGATTCAGAGCACATTAAACTTTTCTACTGTCAGAAAAAATATAGGAAGAAAACAGTTATCCTTTCCTGTGAGTCCTGTCAGATTAGACAATGACCAGATATCCTCACTTTTCCTTCCATTTCCATATTTTGCATTTGCAAGGATACAAAACCATAAATTTCTAAGCATTTTTCATATCCATGAAATAGCATACAAAAAGTACATACCTGGGATTCCATGCTGGATCAACAACAATGACACGATCAGCATTCGTGAGGGTCAAGCCAAGACCACCAACTTGAGAGGTTAATAGAAAAATAGGAGCTCCACGACCTTCTTGAAATTCCTAATAATCATACAGGAATGAAGAGAGATAAAATTCAGAATTATCTCCAAAATGTATTTCAACTATTAAGGAAAAAAAGGATTAAGCCCTGACATTTACAATCTTCAGCCTGTCACAAGCTTTGGTTGTGCCATCAATGCGTAGGAACTCAAAACCATTAGTCACCAAAGCTTCCTGATAATATCATAAGAGAAGTGTGAACCCGCTTATGAAGGCCAAACAAAAACAACAGGAAATCACACCAAAGACAATAAACTTGAAATGCACGAAGAATGACTGTGGCTCACTACTTTACACATGTAAAAATCGAGCTACTGCATAAGGATGCTACCACTCTACTAGCCCTTGTCAAGAAGCGTGACTCACAAATTACATACAAAACCCTTCCCCAACAAGGCTGACCTCTTCTGTATTGAGAGAATCTATCATGTGCAGAGTCACTCAATTCCTCATGAACCTAAGTACTAAAGGCAGAGTACAGGAAGATGAGAATTACCGAAACTAACCTGAATGATATTAAGCATTTTCCGTGTCTGAGAAAATATAAGAACATTATGCCCCTCGGGAATTAATTTTTCCTACAAGAATTACAATTTATATTAGACATAAGAAAAAATAATTATTAATATTAATAAGGCTTTGGATAGTAGGTCCACAAACCAACAAAGATAGTATAAATGATATCTTGCATGAGAGATTGTCATGCTTCTCCTGAAGATCATCTTCCCCTGTCAAATTTGCTGCATGCATGGCCAATTTCTCTGCTAGACCACAGTCTTCCGGATTAAGCATTGAATCCATGCCCTCCAACACATCTTCAGCCGCTCTCTTTGTCAAAAGATAAGGGTGATCACATATCTTCTTCAAGATCTGTGCTCAATATCCCAAATAACGAAACAATCACGAAATTATAGTGGCAACCAAGCCACCATTAAGTATCAAGCAACAGATATGTTGTAACGAAATGCTACCACCAAGCACAGAACTTAAACAACAGACTGATTGAGGGAAATAAGGAGGCTTTTTCATTAATAAAGAGATGAACTTTCTTACAAGCACAGCCCTTCTTCCCCTTTTTATAAAAACATCATAAACAACAAAAAGTGAACAATATATCCTAACAAACCCCCTGCTATATTTTGTCTCATTCTTCTAAATTTACTGCTTCACTAACACAGCCTCTAACGGTTCCCTTTGCGCCTACTCTCATGTGTGATTATGCCATGTGGCACTGCAGCTTGGATCGTTGCATATGTTAAGAGTAATAAACTCAAATTTTATTACACTAGAAAGGGTATTTATGTTATACTACTACTACTACTATTAACAACATATATATATACACACACAGATCACAATTCACAGTTCACAAAAATCATCAGTGGTAAACCTTCAATGCCGATGCAAAGCATGAAGGATGCGAAGAAAAACCAAGTTAAAGGACAATAACAAGATACAATACCGTGATTGCTGCCAGAGGAGATCCATCGAAAGCTGAAAGGACAATCTCACTCTTCAAAAAGGCCTCATAGAGTTGACGCTGCACAAAATATGGGACAAGAAAGAAACTATTAGACACTGTAACAGTTCAAATAAGAACCA